AGGACGTTTCTCTTGAGTATCTAATCGCCAAGTACAACGACGAAAGTTGTGCGTACGTGCGCGTGTGTGCGCTAACAACGAGGACGCGAAGAAAAGAGAGAGAGAGGGGGGTAGGGGGAGGGGGGGAGAGAGAGAGAGAGAGAGAGAGAGAGAGAGAGAGAGAGAGAGAGAGAGAGAGAGAGAGAGAGAGAGAGAGAGAGAGAGAGAGATGGATGGATAAGGGAGAGGGAAAGGGGAGAGGCGGAGAAGCGGGACTCGACCGACGGCGAAAAGTACGAACCCTGAATTAACAAACGCGATCTTATATACTTATTACTCCCCGTCTCGCGAAAATTCAATCCGCGACGAAAGTTTCGTCAAGCCCGCGGAACGCGCGCGCTCGAGTTCCGCCTCGCCGTTGGCGCGAGCGAGGCCGAAACTTCAAGCAACTCGAGCTTTAATCAGCGAGATGCAGTACCCCCTCCCTCTCCCACCCATCCTCCTTCCCTTTCTCTCCGCGCCGAAATGTAAATTGCATGTCGCGCGAGTATGTGAGCGACTCGGTGAGCAGATCCGACAGCGTCCGCTTCTTTTTCCTTCCGCTCGCTCGCCGGCGCGGCCGGGCGCAAAACCGAGGACGCGACGACGGCTCGTGAAAATTATCCGAGCGGTGAGCGACAGATAGTACGCTATCGGCATCGGCAAAACGTCGGCGAGCGCCGAAACATTAACGCGTTCAAGGGAGCCAACAGGGAGGGGGGGGGGCGTGTGCCCCGTAATTTACAGTGATCACGTTCCGCGCATAACGCGCGGGTCGCGCTCGGGGCGCATATTTAACGCGCTAATAGCCTCGGTCGAAAACACGCGCCCCCTCCCCTCCCCTGCCCCCGTCCCGCGCGGTTAGCGCGTGTCCGCCCGGTGTTTTAAATAATCTCAATCGATTACACACATTTCGTCACGGTACGGCCGCGGCAGGAGCATGGTTTTACGGGGGCGACGCGACAAATCGCCGCGGCACGTTGTTGGCCCGGCGTTAACCCGGCTGGAAAACGCCTCGCGAATATTACACGGGGAAGCAGAAAGCCTGCCTGCCTGCCTGTCCTCGTCGCCGTACACGTTTCCTGCCGATTACGCGCTCCGTTAACTTGGAAGCAATTCTATCGCGGCAAAAATTAAGTAAAACTGCTCTCACCCCCGCTTGTCCTTGACAACATTGAATGCAGCGGTGAATGCAAACTGCGCACATCGCAATCCTGTCGCTCGCTCAACGTTACGTAAAACTAACATCGTTCTGCCGTGCGCGCGGAAAACTGTTCGGTTGATATAACTGAATTTCTGTTACGCCAACACCGAAACCGGGTTCCGTTCCTCAGGAATCAAGTGAAAATTCGGTCGCAGCACAAGCGAAATTCCGTTGGGAGATTCTGTCGCCTCAGAAATACAGGATGAGTCGGTTTAAGCGACGTATTGATTCTTCTCGAGAACCGAGACTTATATCGAGAATATTTCGTACAAAAGGTTTGTGACTTCCAGGACATAAGATGGTGCCATTGGTTTGACTTCGGACAGCCGTTTGAAGATTACACGAAGGTCACCTTAAATTTCTTAAACGGAATCCTATTTTTCGCTGCATATTCTTCCAGTTTACCTCGAGAGCTTTTCAAAAGATTATAACAAAGTATTTTTTTCATGAAATATTTTTCGAGTTATAAGGTTGTAGTATTGCCGGCATTAGCAATACCAAAGGTGTACCGCGTAGAGATCAAATCAGGGGTACGTCAAGAGAATCGATATGTCGATAGTTTCAATGGAAGAATAACCTGACATCGTCCTGACATCGATAGGTGCGAGACAATTCTGTTCTCTAAGAAACCGTTCTGAACAATTGAACTTGCGACCGTGTGTCGCAACTTTTTTTCAATCGGAACAACTGGATCATACAAATTCCGAAGCAACGTACTTTCATCAATGAGTACAATGGCGGTGCAAATTCCGATTCTTTGTGAACGGATATACCTCCACCTGATTTGACCTTTACACGGTGCACTTTTGGTCGTGCTAATGCCGGCGGTACTGACTTTTTCAAGCTTTAGCTCGAAAAGTATTTAATAAAAAAATATCTTATTATAGTGTTTTAAAAAGGTCTCGAGGTAAGCTATAAAAACATGCGACAAAAATTAGAGGTTTCCATTTAAGAAATTTAAAATGACCTTTACGCAACCTTCAAACGACTATCTAAGGTCAAACCAAAGGCACCATCTTATGTCGCCCTTGACATCATAAAACTTTTATATGAAATATTTTTCGATATAAGCTTTGGTTTTCGAGGAAAATCAATGCGTCACTCAAAATTACTCACCTATACAGGATGTACAAAAAGCACCAGCGAAATATCTAGAAAGCTTACGATCTCACTATTTGTCGGAAGAAAAATTTATACTAGACTTTTTTATTCTATTTGGTGTAAGAGTGAAAATAATAGGATGTATAACATGGGAGCGAGTCCCGCGAAATATGCCCTTTCCTCTTCTGTTTATTTACTTTAGTCATAGAGCCGAGTGAATAGACGAGCAACTCGAGGTAGTAAACACAAAAGTTAGATAGCGTGACGATAACGTGATTCAGACGCCCGTCTGCGAAGGTCGAGCGAGATACAGAGACGCATCGAAGGCTAGAGCACCTTCGAGTCAGGCTTTCGCGCAATTACCTCACGCGACAGTTGATCAAAAACGGCGGTTCGAGCGGGAATGCGCACACTCGACCCGCTGGCGGGTAGTCGGAGATCACCAGCGTATCCCAACGTAAAACTCACCATCCAGCACTGAGAGGTACAATGGACATCAGGGGAAAGCGCACGAGATGTCCCTCTCAGCTGCTGGCTCAGATCATTTAGATCACACATTTAGAGCTCTCCGGGAAAACGCACGGCGGGCCCGGTCTGGCGACCCAGAAAATATCTGAATCGGACCGGTGTCGAAGGGAAAACGCACGACGACACGTACGACACCGGTATTTGGAATCAAGAGAAATCAACTAATTGTGTACAGGAACAATGCTCGCGACCTCGGTTACCCGCTGAACATTAGAAAACAATAATTTGGTTAAGACTCACCAACCTTCTGCACGAGTGGTGATGGCACGTTTACCTCGGACGTCCAACAGCGACTGACTCCCCGACTCTACCGCGACATCGTTCTTATGATCCGCGTCTCTATCTTCCAAACGTAAACACATCGTTCTCCCTACCATTAACCTCACTGTGATCGTTATTGTTTATCAACGCTCCGAACGCCCATTTCGGATTTTCATATGAAATACTCACACCTCATACGATAGGAATGGTTGGGTATTAAAAGTAAGAATCGATTCAATATTTTTATTACAATTACATGCTTTCCTTCGAAGCTATTCACAACAACAGATCGATGGCACTCTTTAGAAAAAGGAGAGGAGAGAAGGGAGAGAAAAGCAAAAGGAGCGAAATAGCAAAGAAAAGGAGAAAAAAATAGAATATTTGTCTCACATTGGTCTCAAGAATATATTGTTACATTAGCACTCTGACTTTAGTTAATTTGATGATTTTGAAATTTCCAAAGATCGACAAGTTAACAAAAATGGCGGCATTATTGTAACAATATATTCTTGAGATCAAATAGAGTAAAAAAGTCTAGTACTATTTTTTCTTCCGACAAATAATTAACGTGATATTGTAAGTTAAACATTGAAAAAGTTTTCCTTAAATATCTCAAAAAATATTGGGCAAATAAAAAAATGTTTCAGACAAAAGTTGTTAAAATGAATTAGTAGAGAAAGATGACGCATAATAAAAAATTGGGATTTCTGTTTAGAAAAAATAATAATCAGGGAATATCTCGAAAGTGGCGCCATCTGTGAACAAAATGATATAGTTGTTTTATGTCCCCTTTGAAACCACCCAATGTCTATGAATAACTCGATATCTATGTTGTGCAATTGCCTATTAGCCGTGGGAAAATGCGGTGTCGTAGCAGCAGTGCTCGCGTCGTCCACTCGTCGAGATCTCGCGAAGCGAGAGAGCGGTGACATCGACGACGATTGTAGCAACAATTGAGTCGCTGATAATCGATAAAGCCGCAATCGCTGCTGCAACCAGGAACACTGAATTCGCCAGAACAAATGCTCTTTCAGCGGATCGAGCGTGGACATTAGCGTCGCGTTCGTTGCTGCACGACGGCGACGACAGCGTCGTCGTTGTTCATCGTCGATGGCTCGGCTTCGCAGCGGTCATTTTCATTCGCATCGCTGTCATCATCGTCGGCACCGCGCAAACCCCATTCGCTCAATTTTAGGCCGCAATGGTGACATATCACCAGATCGAAGTCACCGCGTTTGGAAAGAAAACCATTCTGAGCGAAAATGATACGACAGTAGGAAGGAAAGGTCAGCGTGTCCGCCCATTCGAACGAGGATATTCGATCCTCGTAGCGAGCGTATCGCGGAGCGGCCGACGATACGATCTCTCGATCGGACGCAACAGCGCCGTCGCGATCGGAAGCATCGGTGATATCGCGCACGCGTCTACTCATATCAGAGGTCGAATGGAGCGTTCTCTCGCCACACTGCCCTTTCGAGTAACGGTGATAACGTCGAAATTATGTCTCTTTATCTCCGTTTTCTCCGAATTGGATCTTTTTTTCGTCTCTGAAACAAACATCGTTACGGAGTATTAATCTCGAAACGCGTGATTCACGCTTCGATGAATCTCCGAGGACACGGGAGCACAAAAGGCTTCGTTGATACAAACAGTCGGAACTCGATCATCCGTGCCTAAAAAACGACGCCGTCTTGTCGTCGACGAGCGGAAAGAAGATATCGCATTGCGAGCACACTCGGAGCGTTATCATCACCGAGACCAACGAATATCATTTTTGTTATATAACAGGTCATGTATCTATTGAAACAGCCGGATGCGGTCACTCGTGACTAAGAGGATACCGCCTTGTGCGATCGAGGCATCGCTGATATATCCAATGATGGTCGGATGTTCATTTGCGTTATCGCTCGACGGAGCAAGAAGTGCCGTTGCGAACATGGGTATTTTTTATGCCACGACAGATAACGACTTATCGGGACGGTCATGCGAAAATATTCGGTCGCGATCATAGCTTGAATAAAAAGATCAACCGTCGAGCGGACGGGCAGTCGAAAGCATGATTCCACCGAGGGCGCACTGCCAACGTGTACGTCCCAAGAGAAGACGACGGATATACCAGGATATACCGCGACGGAATAGATTGCCTCCTCGTCATGTAATGTCTAAGAATGTGCGTTGTATTTGTACATATCCGCGAAGCAAGGAAGCTGACCGAAAATTCGTCGTGGAAATGCTGTGGAAAGTGAATACGCAAGGTGATAAATCGTGGTAAGTAACAGAGTTACGTATTTCACTCACTTTTCGCGGCATTTCACGTTTATGCGTAAATCGTGCTCTCTTCTCATCGACGCGTGTGCGCGTTCAGGTTGCTCGCAGAGTGTCAGGAAACCAGAGATTGTGTTCTTAAATACGCGAGGGATATAAAGGAACGATGTGAGTTGTTATTGAAGCGATATGCCGAGGAATCGGTCAATCGTCCTCTTACGACAACGTCGATACCGGACGACGAAACCCCGCTCGATCTGACGTTGTCGACAGCCACCGAGTCAACGAGGCTGACCGTGGAGATGTCGTCGGAAAAGAGATGGACGGTGCTTCAAAGAGGACGAGTCGTCGCATTACCGGTGGCGACAACGACAATCGAACCGTTTTCGTATGCGAACGAAGCATCGCACGATTTGACGTTGTTCCCGGTCGTCGAGGAAGGTCTGTACGAGGAGAGAGTGGCAATGAACACCGGTATGGACGAGCAGGAGGAGTTCCGACGTCCGCAGCAACAACAGCAGCAACAGCAGTTGGACGATCGTACGCTTTAGTTTCAACAATGCTGCTATTGAATCAACCCAAGGGGAACAAAAAGTTACGGTAATATCAAAATGACGTCAAAAAAACATCAAAACAGCAGAAGTCACTATGACATCAAACCGGGAATAAAAATGACTATAATTGGACGTCATTTTGATGTCATTGTGATCAATATATACCGTTGATTTGTATTCAATATTGCGCAAAAGTAGTATCAGTAATTTACAGGTGATAAGATAACAAGGACAGAAATAATTAGAATTATTTTTTATTACAGTGCGTTTGTAATACATAGTAGGAGTAATATACATTATTTCTTGAAGAAGAAATTATAAGCTATATCAGTAAACTATATTAATATTATATAAAATCTGAAAAAACTGTCAGAATAATGTTTTCCAAAAACAAAGAAAAAAAACTCAAGCATAGTTTTCAAAATCTAATAACTCTAAATATTATTGGTAAAAGTGGGGTTTAGGGGACCCACCTCCAATGAGTTTGTCATTAATATATATTATCAAGGATACTCTACTGAGTGACATTCAAGAGGTTTTAGCTGTCGCTCATTGTTTGTTAAAAAATAATTAACAAAAGAAATTTCATAAATAGAATGTAATTTTCCAACACCGTGTACATATTTAAGGAATGAGCACATGCTATACACGCGCTATATATGAATATATTACCCGAATACCGCACTACGAAACTTGTTCTGTTTTGATTATTTCTATTGTGTATATTCTTACTTGGTATATTTCGTATGATCTGTAGTATTACTCTCAGTTGCTCTTTCGGCGTTTAATTAGTTGGTCGCTTAAGTAAATCCAAGATTTACGTAAATTTTCAAAATGTATTTACATGAATATTTACGTATGACGCATAATTTCGACAGTTTATGGAATTTCTTATATGAAAAGAAGGTCGTTCGAAATGAGATAATGTGTCCGCGATGTAAAAAATTATTAAAAGCAAATAATTCACTTGAAAATCGTTTATTACATTGCACAAACAAATATTATAAAGTTACTAAAGGTCGAAAACGACAAAGAATAACGTGCAACTTCAAAATTAGTATATTTCACGGATCATAGTTTTCAAGAATGCACATGGATTTGACTGTAATTTGCCGTTTTATCTGCTATTTTCTAATGATGCAACCACCACGACAGTCATTTTTAATGAATGAGTTGCAAATAGATCAACATAGTGTTGTTGATTGGACGAATTTTTGTCGAGAAGTAAATAATATACTGCTTGTTACTTATTTATTTGTGCTTGTTAATGAATAATATTACACTGATTTGTTAAATTATCTCTAGTTACTTCAACAATGGATTGAAGATAAACAAATTCCAATTGGCGGAGTGAATAAAATTGTAGAAATAGATGAAGCCAAAGTAGGAAAAAGAAAATATAATACGGGACATATAATTAGAGGACAGTGGGTTTTTGGTGGTATAGAACGTGATACCAAAAGGTTTCATTTTACCCGTACCGAATCGACGTGCTGATACTCTGCTATCTGTTATTGAAAAATATATTGTACCTGGTTCTATAATACATACGGACCAGTGGCGAGGATATAATATTTTTCGTAATTACGAAAATTATACTTATAGAACAGTAAATCATTCAAGAAATTTTCTAAATCCAGAGACTGGTGTTCATACACAGAACATAGAAAGATTGTGGAGAGATATGCGAGCAAAAATTCCTCGATATGGTATATGAGATTATCATTTTACGCATTATCTTGCAGAATTTATGTTTAAAAAAGCATATGATTTTGACAAACGTATTGATAGTTTTTTCGAAATTATGAATTTAATGTATCTATACATTAGATAATCCGAAAATGGGATAAATTTCTTTATATACATTTCTTCTATTAATACATATAGTATAAGATTATGTAACCTAATACTAACAAGAGAACGGTCGGGGGCGTCCTTCACTGATTTGAATGGGCATTGGATATGTTGTAGAGGATCAAAAAATATTAGACACGAATTTTTTTATATGTGCTTATCTCGAGGTTTAGGGGTTCAAATCACCCTTTGAAAAAAACGGATTTTTTCGTTTTTATCAAATATCTTTTAAAATATGAGAGATATGAAAACATAGTAAATGTAAGAGTTTTACAATATTTGATGCTCTTTGCACCTGTCAATTCAAATTTTTCAAAATATCAAATTTACGCTCCCCTCTCCACTCATTATTTTCGCAAATTTCAAAAATTTTGTAAGAACAAAAATTAAAGAGCATTGAATTCCGAATCCAACCATATATAATAATGTTACTTTCCGAGATACGGACTTTTCGAAAAATAGATGGAAATGTCCGTGTATACCTGTAACACGCTACGCACAGCGCCTACCTCACTCGATAATATACGCAACACGTCCTCTTCGAATTTCTTTCGAATGATAAGCGATTAATACCGATACGGAGAGTATGTAATCATAAAACATTTCAATATATAATAACGTTATTAAAGCAATCATAGATTTATACACAACAATATTTCTATACTTTGTCTTTATAAAAATATATACGTATACGCTTTATGAAAGTTAGATTTTATGTATGATAAGTTTGTGTGTCTATTTTTATGGTGGTTGACGTAACTACGACGGAAGTGATACATGAATAGCAAAATCAATCATGTTTATTAACGCTTCCAAAGTGATTTAAACATAAAATGCGATATTTGTGGCCAAACTGCTATAATTACTTGTTCTTAGTGTAAAAAATTATTGTGTATGACACATTTTTTCCATTAGAGAATTAAAGAATTAAAGAAGATTTCAAATATAGACACAGCCAGTTTAACTTACAAATATTTTGCACCTTAAAAATGTAAACAGATGCCAAAAAAAAACTTAATTTAGTCTGGTCGTTGCATGAAAGTATTGAACCATCGTTTCATATGATCTTCAAATACCGAAATCTGTACGTTAGAAAACTTCTTCAAGCAAACACCTATTTGAGAAAAATAAAGAAGAGGTTTAATATACATATATTATGTGCACATTTATGTACATGCTTATATGTGAAAAAAGCAAAGTAAAAAATTAGAAAATAACTTTTTAAAAAGCAATATGATATTCATTTACCTTCTACTATTAGGTGTACAACTTTGCTTCTGCCGTTTTCCTATAGATGGCTTTAAATAGTGATGGTGGTAAATAGTGGTCGAAATAAATAGATCATAGACGTCATGCAATAAATTTGGGCATCTGTCAACATAACCCCATAGAAACATTAGTCGATTTGTGTCTGCACCATAAAGTTATTCTCGATTGAAAATGTCAGTTTACGAGCGAAATTCTCGTCATTTGCGGGAGGTTTTAATTTTCTGCTTCAATATGAAGAAATTTGCGGCTGAGGCTCATCGAATGCTCTCAAATACTTATGGTGAGGCCGCTATTAGTGAAGTGATTAGTGAAGTGAGTGAACGTGTCATGAGTGGTTTCAACGCTTCAAGAACGGTGATTTTCACGTCGAAGACCGGCATAGCGGTGGAAGAGAGAAGGTTTTCGAAGATGCAGAATTGGAGGCATTACTTAATGAAGACTCGTGTCAAAGTCAAGAAGAATTGGCACGATCATTGGGAGTGACTCAACAAGCAATTTCAAAACGCCTCAAAGACATGGGAATGATTCAGAAGCAAGGAAATTGGGTGCCGTACGAGTTGAAACTGAGAGATGTTGAACGGCGTTTATTTGCTTGTGAACAGTTGCTTGAAAGGCAAAGACGGAAGGGATTTCTGCATTGCATTGTGACTAGGGACGAAAAATGGGTTCATTACGATAACCCCAAGCGCAGAAAATCATGAGCATATCCCGGCCATGCTTCCACGTCGACGGCCAAACCGAATATTCACGGTTCCAAGGTCATGCTCTGTATTTGGTGGGACCAGCTCGGCGTAGTGTATTATGAGCTGTTAAAACCGACTGAAACAATCACAGGCGATCGTTATCGAATGCAATTAATGCGTTTGAGCCGAGCATTGAAAGACAAACGGCCGCAATACAACGAGAGACACGATAAAGTGATTTTGCAGCATGACAATGCTCGACCCCATGTTGCGAAAGTGGTCAAGACATACTTGGAAACATTGAAATGGGAAGTCCTACCCCACCCGCCGTATTCCCCAGACGTTGCTCCCTCTGACTATCACTTGTTTCGATCAATGGCACACGGCCTGGTTGACCAGCACTTCCGGTCTTATGAAGAAGTAAGAAATTGGATCGATTCGTGGATCGCTTCAAAAGATGATCAGTTTTTTCAATGCGGGATTCGTACGCTGCCCGAAAGATAGGAGAAAGTAGTGGCCAGCGATGGACAATACTTTGAATCATAAATGTATAACCAGTTTTTTACAATAAAGCCTCGAATTTCGGAAAAAAAATGGCGGAAGCAAAGTTGTACACCTAATAGATTTTTGACTTTGGATTTCTCAAAACTGAGCTTGGCCCTTCCAAAACCCTTCCAACTAATGAGTCATACCAGATTATTTCTGAGTAGAGTCGACAAAATAGAGTAAGTGAAGAGAAAGGTTGTCTCTCCTTTCATAACAAATATTTAAGCTGCAACACAGAAAAAGCCAATCAAAGTACTCAATGAACATATAATAGTATTGCAATACTTGCATTATGAATGGTGACAGAGAGAACTCACCATATGACCGTAGAATACTTTACCATCTAAATAACAATCAAAACCTGCAAACGATTCCTCAGTTTCTAGTGGCAAGGAGGGGAACCCTTCAGGTCGGTCAAAACAATGGATATCGGGAAACAACTCGTGCAAAATTTGAGAAATCCCAATGTTCTGCCAATCTATCTTTGTTGACAGTTCTTGTATATAATTTAGAATTACTTGCTCTTGAAGTTTATCTATCAAAAAATCATATAAATCAAATAACAGTTTTGAAGTGAAATGTGTTCATAATATAAAAAGTCATTATAAAAATTGTCAGTTGCCGATGAAAACAATTCTTATTATTTCAAGGATATAAAGAAGGATAGAAAGGATATAGAAGATAAAAATATAAGACTCACTGTTAGTGGATCCGCAGCTTTTACATACTGTTAATGGCTGTGGATCTATGAATAAAACCAAATATTCAATTCAGAATCAATGAAGCAGTCATTTATTATTACAAAAATGAGGCAACCAATAAAAATAACGAGCTTTTTGATGATGTACATCTGTCTAAGATATTAGTTTGAGGTTACGAGTGGGCTGGTCTGCACATTATGTCACAGTAAAGTTTATTCTATCTCA